ACATCACCAAGTATGGTTATGACATCACAATTGTTATTATAATATAATCATTAAATATTAATTTTCTGTTATATATTTCTGTGATTCATGCATGTGTACATAAAAGATGGACAGGCATTGTAACTACTCTTTATAGTCATAGAAGTATGTTCCGTTCCAGTACTTTCATAATGGAGATATGATTCATGAATTTTGGTGAAATTGACACAAATGTCACTTTAGTTAATAAATCACTATATTTAGTATCATTAATTTAGAATAATTTATTTGTTTACATTTGAATTCAATTAGTGGAAAAACACCGATTTTTAGATCGCTCGTTAATATCGAAGTAGTGCGAGGACAATAATGAAATTTCTACCACAGGTTTAACATAAAATCTACTTTAATACAGCGAAAACTTGAGTTTGTTCGAAGAGTCCCACATCCTGATTTCCCCCGTCGAAAAGGAGGAATTTCTCAATATTGCCGCAGTTTAAATCGGTATTTTTAATGTCTGACTTACTGTACTGGGCTATTATTACTAACACAAATTCTTTGAAGGCTTATTTTCATGTGTGGATAACATGAATGAATCTAGACATATACCTACCAAGATATTATAGTTTAAATTTACGACAAATTTGTATTTCTTTTAATCTGCCCGCATGTTCATTCCCCGTTATTTACGACATCCTTCATCACAAATATCAAACGATGCTTTGGTTTAAAAGAACAGTCTCAGATTTATAATTGTACAGATTTTCGTGCTAGTACGATGAGTGATCAGCGAGATATTGATGTACAAATTGTGCCGAAATTACAAATTCTGTAAAAATCGCGACTTCCGTCATTAGCAATCACGCAGTTTTTTGCTTATATTTCCTCAAATACTTAATCTTATCTATCGAAAATTCACACAATTTCTAATTATATAATGATCTAAAAGTGTACCAAAAATCAATTCTATCTGCAATGCTTGTGCAGGAAGTTTAATCGATTTGGCGTGGAATGACCCTTGTACGGCATATCAAATGTTATAATTTTGCTAAAATTCGTTCACCAGAATGGGAAAAAAGTTCGCAGAAATCGTTAGAGACAATTATATTAGTAATACTCATACAGTAATTATTTTAAAAACACAAAACATGATAGCGGATGATTATCACATTGTGAGTGAGATAGTTGAACAGCATGAGAGAAAAAGCAAACATGGTGGAGAAGCTTAGATTTGTTCTGAAACTGCTGACCAGGGGGATTCTGAAAAGCCAAGCTGCAGGGTCAAAGAAAATCATAAGCAACCAATAGTGGAAGGGAAAAATTGAGCAATTTTGAAATTGAGATTTTGGGATTGCATTAAGGCAATGAGTTAAACAGAAAAAATATCCAGCAGCAGCCTAGGTCGGATTATTTTCGGATTATTTAATTGTAATACTTGGCAAATTTTAATCTCTGGCATTGGAATTGTCATTTTCCGTAAATTTCGCAAATAGCTAAAAATGGGGCTTTTCATAGGTAAAATATAGAGATCTAATCTCTCCATTCCCTTCTTAGATGTTTAATTTAATGTGTTGCACATTAACAACATTAGGGGTTATTTCAAACCTTTCTATCTCCACATTTCCATACAGTTTGTTAAAAAAACCCCACTGTCCCCACATTATCAAATAATTGTAATTTGGATTTTATATGTATATGTATACGTATATACCAGATAATTTTTACGGTTTCTCACATAATTCATCTTATATCAACCAACTAAACCCAACTCCTTTGAATGCATCTGATACATCATCGGACACTGGTTTATCATCAAATGTTGAGGACGTTTATTCCTGTTATACTCTGTGATTATTGATGTTACTTAAAGGAATATCAAGTGGTTTCCACGCAGGTTTGCATGATCCATGCACAAGGGATGTTTCTTTAGATTCTCTGAGCCACAGGCAAGTGTATCTTTTTGCTTTCTGAACGTCAAGCAACATCGCAAGTGCAGGATGTGCAATCGAATTGCATGTTTCCTTGAAGTCATAATATAAAATGCATTGTTTAATGTTTATATTGATGTCTATTGTATGAAAGTGTACAGACAATGGTGGTACATCGGTGTTTTTCGACAGGTTACTTTTAGGAATAACATTAATTTTACTTTAAGATTCTTACAAACTTATATGCAGCAACCTTACCTATTATTTACACGCATTGTTTCAATCGTCTTTAGAGACTGTCTTTTGTTTACATTGAGCCTCTTTATATAAATGCAGTTCCGCATGACCAATACTATATCTATAATTGCTGAGTTGTTGGGGTTTTATTTATTTTATGTTTGTGTTGTTGATCAAAATCGAGCTGGACAATATATAATAGCATTGCAACTTGTTCAATTTCCAAAGGGTTATTTCACTCTCTCTAACACTATCTCATTTAACATACAAAAGGGTAATATAATTTGGGCAATGAATATTGAGTTACTCTTTGTTTTTTAAATTTTAATGATACATAAATTGTATCCTGGCACATAAAATGATCTCGACACCCAAATTAGTTGGCAATTGTAGGATACTCCGCTGTTAAATATAAAGATTACAAAGTTATGGCGACCCTTCTCTGCATGTACAGATATAGGCGTGCGTAGGAATATTGTTTTTCACTTGATATCATTCTCTATTACATTCACAACAAAATCAAACGTCTGTTTTGTAACTTTAAAGTTTTCTTACCATTGTACATCGTTATAAAACTCGTCTCCTAAAAGAAAACAAGTATCTGTACGAGGATGCATGCATAATATTCCTTCTCTTGGTACCTTCAGAGCAAGACACAAAAGGGCAATTAATCGTACTTTCCTTTTCATACATTAGTTTTCAATCTTTGTAACTATATTTTTGGATTTTTTTAATTCTTAGCATTTTACTTATGTGTTCAAATTCTCTCTTATTGCTGAATTTTCGAATATAGCTAATATAGAATTACATTCCTGTCAATTCGCGCTTCCATATGTATTGCTTCTGACTGGCAATGCGGAGTCCAAGATTTGACGGTGCTTGGCACGGACAGAGATTTTTGGCACGGCACAGAGAGATAAACGTGCCTTGCCATGCCAAAATTCAACACTCCCCTGCATGCCCAAAAATTTGCACTGCCGTGCCAAAAAAATTGTAGTGTGAACGGAGCTCAACTCAAAGTCGCGTTGTGTTTGCTAAAGTCTATTACAGTTCACTCGACAGGCTTATATAGCTACTAGTAATAAGTATCATAATCGTATCAACATTGCCTTTCCCAACAGAATATTTCGCGAAATAATAATATGAATCATATACTCCGAAAACAAAAGTTGCTAAGCAAAATGACACAAATTTCAGGCGAAATTAAATTTCATCTGATATCTCATAATTATATTGTTTTTAACAAAGAAAGAAAGTACTTTGGCGAAACGATAAAGCTAATTATTTATTATTACACTTTATTTATTGTAATGAGAAGGTTAAACATGCAAGTCTACAAGTTAAAACTTCCGGCAACAGTCTGTGATTGCCGGCACTTTTCAACTATCGGACAATCTCCTGTATACAGAAATCTTATATGTAAGAATTCAAAACAGCACGTTTCATGCAAGTTCTACTCAATAGCAACCGTACAACTCAAGCCTCATGGTAGGATATCTTTCCCATGATTTTGGCAACACACGAATGTACCGAGCGTAGATGGAGTCTTGATCGCTATTGCCTTGAAAGACCTAGCAAGTCCAAAAACACCACGATTAGTTTGATAAAAATTAATATATTTCGATGAATTATATGTAACACATTTCCATGCAACTAGAGCGCATTTGATCACCGCCTGGTTGGGGCAACCAAGCGCAGAAAATTTCGCACTAAGCCTGTTGGACAATATTTGCTTTGTGGTTTAAACACAACATGCACAGATTTTTGTAATTCCATGTTAACGCGACCCAAATTCAAAAGCGTGTAAATTTTGCGGCAATTAGGCGATTATGCACCGCCGCACAGAGGCAAATAGCCGCTTTAAAATATTGTAAATATAACAAAATTCTACAGGGTGTCCAAAAAAACGAAAACTATTGAAATCACTCATTGTTAAAATTTGATTGTGTGATAAAATTTGTGCCGTGTTCACGAATTTCAGCCCGTGAGGATTTATACAACTTATAAAATGCTAAATGCTTTGTGTTGCTAGAGAAAGGGGACATGTCGAAGGTCATGGTCCTTGAGATGCACATTTAAATATTGTTATCCATATTTGTAAATTGTAAATATTGTTAATAAATATCATTTTTGCGAACAGGCAAATTTGACTGCATCATATGCATGGATAAAAATGCTTATGGCAACCCCGATTTATACACTTGTTGGCCCAACAGAGTGCTTAGGCATTCAAACTCTAACAATGGCATTGTTATGGGTGATTTCAATAGTTTTCGGTTTTTTTGGGACACCCTGTAGTTTTGTAGTTGTTCCCTTTCAAAGTAAAATTTACTACTGAGATAATTGGATGTCATCACAATGCACATAATAATTTATTATGGTAAGGTATAGTCAGGGGCGGATTCAGCCTAACGAACAACCCCCATCAAAAAAATTTTGAAAGGACACCGAATTGTATTCAATTATTCGTTTATTAGACCGAAAATTTTATTCGCTGTTTCGCCCTATATCAGGGCTCATCAGCATGCCTAGGCTAAACAAATACAAGCACAGTGTGCGTGTAGTCGTGTTTAGCCGACATGGACAGCCTCTAAAAGAAGCCTTTAAGGTGAACGTCTGGTTTTAAGGCGCCAGGTATACCCGCCATCACACCTGGACAATATGTCGGGAGTTTGGTTAGAATGGGAGACTATATGGAACATTTCATGGACATGAGATTGTTCAGTTCCTCATATCATTCCAGTCAGTTCTAACCCTTTACCCCCCTCCCCCGGGGCCCAAAAAACTTTATGATAAGAAATATGGTAAAATCATAACTTAAATTTTAGTAATATCATTGTTTATCTTGGACGTGGCCTATAAAAATTTCAATCTCCGGTTATCTTCTGCAAATTTATTAATAATATCTGAAGTACTTGGAACAATTTCCTGATGAATTCTCATCATTGCCAAACCGTTTAAACGGTCAGAAACCATTGTACTCCTCTTGTAGTTTTTCAGTTCTCGCAAAACTGATATAGAGCGTTCGCACTCGCATGATGTTATTGAGAGTGTGGCAAGAATACGAAGGATTACTTTGATGTTTTCGAAGCCTTCAAACTTTAGGGCTTTCAAAGTTGAAGAAAGTGAGTCCGGTAGAGGTCCCTCATAATCCTCCCAGTATGTTTGCCATAAAAGAATCTCAGAATCCAACGCTAAAGGATTAGGAAGGTCATCACGATAGAAGGTAGCCGCTATTTTAAACTTCTCTTTCCAATCAACACCATTACTAAGTAGTGAAATCATTTTAGATGGTACAATGCAAAGCCCATTATAAACAATCACACTCTGGGTATCGAAACGAGCTTGGAGTGCAGAGTTCAGGAGGTCTATAAGTGGTATGGTAAAAGTTCTCTTATAATGCTCGGAAACAGTCTTATAAGGAGTATTCGCACAAGTCGTCTGTTTACCAACTGTCCTAGGTTTCCGTTCATCTATATTTAACTGCTTTGCAAGAGACAAAGCTTCATCGTACCATTTATCCTGAAATTCTGTCACATGCAGAATTTCTCATAGTAAGGACAAAATGTTTCAAAGAAGTTATAAGGTGGATACCGTCCATGATATCTATACTCTTTCCTTGAAGAAGCTGAGTAACACCAAGCGTCGAATCTAGAACATTTCTACAAATGACTAAGGCAACAACGAACTCGAACTTTTCCAAAAGATCGAGCATTTCTGAAGCATCAGAAGAAAGGCTAGGACTATACTCCCCATTCGAATTTTGCTTCAATTCTCTTAAGGTGTAAAACACAGGGACAATAAGGAGTTGAAAAGTATCCAAGCCATCAATGCACTCTACCCACCTCGTACGACAGACATCTACTAACTTCATCTTAATTCTTACGACTACCAGATTCCGAACTATGTTGCTGAATGTCTCTCCCGAGTGGAAATTGACGTGTCTGCGAGGCGTTAAAAAAATCACAAACCTTTTTTACCCGCTTCAACATTGATTTCACGTCAATAATATCTATTGATTCACAAATCGCTAAATTTAAACGATGGCTATAACAATGGGTGAAAAGAGCCTTTGAATTCAACCTAAGTAAATGAGCAGAAAGACCATTGATATGTCCAGCAACAGCACCAGCACCATCGTATCCCTGACCTCTACAATCAGCTATAGGAACATCTAATTTATCCAAAGCATCAAGAATAGTCTTGGCGAGTTGTTCGCCTTTCAGACCCCACGAACAATGAAGAAAGCCAACAAATTCCTCCCTTATGTTCATTTCCTCGTCAACAAAGCGCAACACAAGGGACATCTGCTCCTTGTTAGAAATATCCCGGGCCTCATCAGCAATAATGGCATAAAATTTACCCACCTTCAAGTCAGCAATAATCTTATCAGTGATGACCTCGCCACAGCAATTTATTAGCTTATTTTGAGATGTCTTTGATATGTAAGTCTCATTTTTTCCACAGGAACTAAGGTGATCCTGTAAGACCTTGTCACCAGATCGCACTCTAAAATTGATTAACCCTACAAAATTCCCTACCCCACCAGAAGAATAGTTTCCAATTTCAGGATGATACTACGTGAATCATCACGATGACCACGGAATGCTAAACCTAAACGACCGCAAGCATTAAAACAATAAAATTAACTGCCTTGCACCACAATGAAGTTTAAATTGCAATGCAAGATATCAACAAAATTCTTACTTTTGTTTCTTCATTAGAAAGAGCGCCATTTGATTTTTTTGTATTTTCAAGATCTGACAGATCTGTTTCCTGTTTCTGTAAGTAAAATTCATAATACAATACAATACACTTCAATTCATAACATACATGATATAAATACAATATATATGCACTCAATATTCTGATGTTACTCGAAGTGTGTGTGTATCCACACTGATTCATCAGGAGAAGGTATTACATGCACATAAATTGGTTAATATTAATCAAACAACACTTACATCATTAGAAAGAACACCATTTGATTTTTTTGTATTTTCAAGTTATGTTTCCGGTTCCTGCATGTAAGTAAAATTAATAATACAATACACTTCAATACATAGCATAGAGGGTATAACACAATATGCAGTATCTCATTCTTTCTGATGTTACCCTAGTGTCTATCCACGCCACGCAAGCTTAATGGTGGGAATCATACTGTGGGAATCATACAGACCACGTGACTGTGAGAACATGTTCATTTGATATGCAAGACTTGATTCTAAATAATACTCTACATAGCTCAATCAGTTGATAGAGCATTGTGCTAGAATTGATGTTATATAACATCATACTAACACAGAAAAACATTTAACCCATTTACTGGCAGTACTCTACGGCTGACAAATGAAATCGACTGGTGTTACATGGAGAGAATACTAAAGTAGGGCGCATTAGGGTGCATTGCCAGTTAATGGTTAGTACAGCATACCATACATTTTGAGATTTAAGTTACTAAACTCAATTTCAGCATGTAATCTAAGGGCATTTACTACCATGCATTGCACCCTCTTCAGCAGTATTTACAGGTAACTCATTGAGTTTTTTTATTTAAGAAAAATCATCTCCCTTCATAAATAATGACTGCAGTCGCCTTCCGTTAGACTGACTATACCTTTCCGAAAATTTTGATTTTAGCAATCTAGTCTTTTATCTCATTTAAGGTTTAGTAGTGTTGCTAGGGAAGTTCTGGCTGAAAAAGTTCCATCAAAAGCATATGACTGCTATATGTTGTTATGTGATGCAGTACAGATGCTTTACAGCAAGCAACTTCAGGTTACTGTGATAATGCAAAGACTCAGGTGTGTATATTAAATGTATATATGTGATGTTGCTACTCTGAGTCACCAACCGGGCAAGCTGAAAAATTAGCTTGACCACGGTGGGAATCGGGTTACTGGTTGGCAACTTGAACATATAGAAAGATTGGAGAAGCTATTTTGGGCCCATGGTATTAAAGCTGAGGAGTTTTATTGGCTTGGAATTTGCACCGTGTGAATATTCAGTGCATGCTGTTGAAGATATTAGGCGCCATTCAGCAATGGATAATTATGCATGTGAACTTTATGAACGAGCTATTTTGACACACAAGGGACAATCACACAATGCAAAGGGCGTTGAAAAAACATTTTCCAACCGTGAAAATCTTAGGAATTTTCTTGACAATTATCAAGAAAAGAATGGACCATTGTCTCAATATGGTCTTCACAAGCCTAAGTACAAGTTTGATTTGGAAGGCGCAACACCACCGATTTCTTTTCATAAATCTAGCTTTCTTGCAGCTGAAGCGCTGCTACATGACATACAAAATCTGGATAATCCCTCACTTGCCTTGCAGCATGCCGTTTCTTATGGCATACCAGTAGGACTTGTCAAGAAAAAGGTGTTTGAAGATCATGTGATTGCAGACCTCTACAGACACTTCCGTCGCAAAGGTATAGCGGCACGAGATATTCCTGATGTTCAAATGTCTCTAAAAGGTTTTTTCCTTAGAGATGAATGTGGTGTTGCTGAAAGATTTTGTTTAGAAACAACTTGTAAAGTCGCTTCTGCTAATGGTGACAAAGAATGGATTCAGGAGATATCTACCATTTTCCAAGTTGGACCAGTGCGGAATAACTATTACATTTTTGTAAATGGAAAATACTACATCCCAACCTATGTTAATGGTAACACTGCGTACTACCAGTGGACACAAACGCAGCAAACTATTCCTCGCAATTATGTTCAGGACAGTATCCAACCGATGTGTCAAATAAAGAGAAAAGTTATCATGAATCCAGACCCATCTAATTTGAATAATAATTTATACCAAAAATGACTGCCATCATTAGAAAGCTCATAAAAAAATTATATATAAGACATCTAAAGGGCTACCTTAATTGTTCAAGTTTTTTCTTGAATTTCTTGTGTTTTAAAATGGTGCCTGTTGGATTGTTTTACAAGGTTGTCGGCATATTTACATATTACTTACAAACTAGATCCTCTGCATTAATGATATTTATAAAAAAATTACAGGCAATACATACTAGTCATTGACAAACGATTTACAAATTCTTTACATAGTACTTATTTGCGTACTATGTAATTTTTTGCACACTATGTAAATATTTGAGCGTCTGCAAACTGTCGGATAATTTGTCAAGCTATTTACAAGGTAAGATAGTTTGTAAATAGTTTACAGTTTATGTAAATTGGATCTTTTACACTATTTACACAGTATGGAAGACACTATCTTTTTCCAGAGATAATATCACTTATCAATATATAATTATATTTGTGAGCTATTTTATATTTGGTTTCCTCCTCGAAATATGCATTTTCGCTACGATTATCAGAATCACACCCCTGATATATTCAATATAGTACAGGTGACAAAATGCTTAGATGTTTGTGGCTTTTAGGGTGTTTGGCACTCTTACTTTAAACGCAAGTCGAACGGGAATTTCTTTAATACATACCACTTATTAACCCTATTTCATTTTGTACCAGGGGTGCGCACCCCTATAAATATTTGTTCGTCATTCCTAAACAAGTGATTCCATTTGCTTGCCCTTTTATGACTTTCAATATTTTTCCTCTAACATCACAACTGTGAAAATTTTTTTTTGAAAGTTCAAAGTTATCCGGGCGTTTGACGACATTTTTCAAACAAGGTGTCGAGCCGAAAATGGCGAAAATGGGGGTTGGTGATTTATGACAGTATTTTTTTGGCTGAATCAATTCCAAGGACATAAATAATATATTATCATTAGAGAACATATAAAGAAGGATTCTTACACATGATTTCCAAAGTAAAATATCCATAATATATTCTATAAAATGTAGTATAATATATAATATACTATAAAATACTTATATAATATAAAATGCTTATTTTATTAGACTTTATATATAAAAATGTAAATATTTTTTGTACCTCTAATGCATAAGATCTCTATGGTGGCCGAAAACTGCCATTCAATTTTTCCAAAATAAAATTATCAAAATTAATCAAATTGAAACGCATTTCAAATAAAAGTAATTTAAAACAAAAGAAAATCAAATTAAATAGAATATTTTTTAACATTAAAATAAAGTTAAAATAATTTGAAAGTAAATTCAAATTTCCACACGGCCTAGAGCTGCCACAGTATACCACAATACCTTGCGGGCATTTTTTTGAACATGGCGTACTTTCGAAATAACAACTGGGTTGAAGACGAACAGCTAAAAGAACAAATGGCAAGGCACATGAGGGAAGGTTATCAACGCAATGAGATGCTAGATTTCTTAAGAAGAGACTTTCCACAGTACGCGTGGAGCATCCGAACTTTGGATAGACGACTTAGTTATTTCGAGTTAAAACGCACAGATAGAGACGTGACGGTTGATCAAGTTAAAGAGGCAGTTCAAAAAGAGTTAAACGGACCTGGTCAATTGCTTGGGTATCGAGCAATGCAAAAAAAAGTTAGACTGGAGCACAACCTGAATGTACCAAGAGATCTGGTTCACGCAGTAATGGGTGAGCTTGATCCAGAAAGCTGGGAACAACGTGGTGGGGTTGGTCTCAAGACGAACAAGAGAGGGAAGGGAAATTTCACGACAAAGGGCCCAAATTGGGTCCATTCATTAAACGGCCACGACAAGCTGATGGGATATCAAAATTCCACTTTTCCATTGGCAGTTGGTTGCATTGATTCTGCAAGCCGGAAACTTCTATGGCTTCGCATTTGGGTGAGCAACAGCGATCCGAAGGTAATAGGCAAAGGGTACTTAGATTATTTGTTTGTATGAAAGCATGGTTATTGCATCTATCATGCAGCTAGACAAGGCTACTGAGACCGGCATCATGGCAACCATGCACACATTTTTACGCCGAAATAATGGGGATATGGAGTCGAGTGCATGATACAGTTGTATATAATTATAGGCCTTCAACTTCAAATCAAGTAAGGGCAATCAATATAATAAACTACATATTCTCTGCATCATAAGAGCTTTTGGCAGCAAGAGCTTTTACCATAAGAGCATCTTGGGTAATTAGGGGGGAGGTGAAAGAAATAATGGACCTGTGAAATATTGCTTCCTTACAGTAACTCCATAGGTCAAGTGTTTCTTTTAAATTCTGCCCTTATCATCCAAGAGGCTCTGTTTTGCTAAAAAGGGTTATTGAGGAGATGGGGGAAATGTTGTTATCGGGGAAATGTTGGAAGAATACCCGAGAAGCTTGTAAAACACTCGGCTACGCCTCGTGTTTTACAAGCTTCTATCGTATTCTCCCAACATCCCCCCATCGTGCATTATTACACCATAAAGGCACGCGACTCGTTTTTTAATTCTTAAGAAAAACGCGTTTCGACCAATCAAAATATCCCTAAGCATCCCAAATGACTATAGTTTCCTATCCAGTTATTTTATTATCCATGGTTTTATTTTGCGGAAATTTTACGAAACGCTTTTACAAAAAGGTTTAAGAATTAACGGTTAAATTGCAGACTTGTCATTGAAATACAAACCTTCGGTCTTAGCCAATCGGAACGTTTTATTGATTACCAGTCGTTACTGGCGCATGCGCATAACTTACAAAACCATCCAACGTCGACCGTCCATGACATAGAATTTGGACAACTTTGGCCAAAAGGTGATCTTTGTCTCAGCATTATGCGTTTTCTACTGTTCGATTCACATCTGCTTTCATTTCCAAGGTATGTATACCTAATAGTCTAACGAATTTAAGAACTACATTTGTTTTCATCGCCCTGCAAATCTTTGCCAAAAATCGTATAAAACGGGCCGTGAGGACAACTAGCTGTGCTTGCCTCACATTTTGATGAACAACTTTGATCGCTCCGAAGAAGAATTCATATTTTGGCAGATGAATTCAACGAATGTGTCAAAAAATTTGTGTGTATGTCAAAATATAAAATAAACACTGTTTGTAATCGACTCTCGAATCGGCCACATGTTTACGCTTTGCACCAGCAGAGGAAGCCATTTTACTTTGTAAAATTAATATGAATTTTAATTACATAAGCAGAGCCGCTGAGGGCGTGCGAGCGGACGCATGTACGCAATTTCTGGCCGTGTTCCGTAACTTACAACAATTCGCAGACAAAGTTAGCAGTTTCACAAATTTTACTTAGCTATTTTCCTTTTTATCGCCGAGGTAAGAAATTAGTCTAAAGCGCAAGTCCTCCATTGAAAGTCGCCGTGAGGGATGCTAATATACATCAGTTGATAATCGATGGCTTAGTTTTGATCCAAATACTGAGGTGGTGCAAAATTTACCTAAATAATACGAACAAGCTTCATTTTCTAATTTTTAAGAGAATTGGAACCAATAATTAGAATTTGCACCAACCCCCGGAAAATATCTGCACACCCGTGTTTCCTAGGTTATATATAAACTGAAGTTAGTGTTAGTTAACGTAGTAGAATTTTGACGAAACAATAAATGCCAATTTTAAGTATTTTTCAATCTCATTTATTGTATGATTTTAAGATGAAATATGGTAGTCTACAAATTAAGCTTAACCACACTGTGGTTACATCCACTAAAGATTCAACTATTGGGAAATTTACTCTAATGATTTAAAAATGATTTAACAGTATGTTTCATGGAATCAATTAATGCAAGAGAGCAAGTTCCACTCAGTGACAACCGTACAACTCGAGTCTCATTGTAGGATAGTTTTTCCATGATTTCGGCACCACACGAATGTATCGAGCTTTGATTCCAGTTTTAAATGTGTTGGTAACAATGGAGTTTTGATCTTTGTTGCCTAGGAAAACCTGCGAAAAACAACCTAGGATTAGTTTTATTAAAATTAATAAACTTCGATTAATTATATGTAACACTTTTCCATGCAACTATACGGCCGCATTTGTCCGCCTTGTTGGGACAACCATGCGCCAAGAGTTTAGCACTTAAGTCCGTGTGGAAATATTTGCTTTACTTTTTAAACACAAAAGTCATGCCCTCAATGCTGCCAAATTTCAACTTCACGTGCATGCACTCTATTTTAATTTTACGTTAACACAGAAACAAATTTCCCTTTAAAATATTGTAACATTTTTTTATTAGTTTTTGTTTTGTTTTTGTTCCTTTTAAATCTAAAATGACTACAGAGATAATTAGATTTATAATCACCACGCACAAAATTATTTTGGTAAGGCATAGATATACGAACCATTTTTGTGACATTCGAATTTTCATAGGAAAGCACGTGAGAAGCCCGAGCTAATTGTAAATATACGTTTTGTTTATATGATTACCTTCACAGTCCCCGACTCTTTATAATCAGTCCAATTATTACCATTGTTGCTGTAAGCAATCGAGTAAGAGATCGCCCACTCTTGGTTGCCATAACATTCTCCTTGAGTTGCAAATCCTGTGACAGCTGTTTTTTTTCCAAGATCAACTTGTAACCACGAGCCAACTCTTCCTGCTGCAGTTGGTGCCCAACAACAAGCACCGCCACTCTTTTTCAATCTCGCGAAGTAAGGGTGGTATGAAGTACTATAAGTTGATGATGCTGTGATTGCCGAATCGGGTATTTTGCCGCTTTGCATTCCCAATGGCTTGGGGTCTATGCATGGAACTAGAAGAAAAAAGTTGTATTTTAAAATATGATCGCCCAACTAAATATCATATAAATCTATCTTATTGAACATAGGCGACTTTCGCTTACGAAGTAACGATGTAAACAAATGCGAGAATATCACACAAAATAGTAAAATTAATGAAGATTTCTTTAATTATTTGACAATAAAGTACTGCGATAATGTATTTGCTGGTATACATGTTAAAAAGTTAAAATGGCGATATTGAAGTCGACAATCAGAGTTATACAAATTGCTCGAGTTTAAATACTATAGGCTTGGCTAATGTGGTCAGTTGGAATAAAATCTTCGACCGTCGAATAAAAAAGTTTTCAACGGATGGAGTCACTTTGAATATTTAAAGCGGGTTGACATTCTTTGATATAAAGCATTTCATATTTAAGACAATAGAATTTGTTCTGGTATTTTCTTAAGACTTTAAACTTCCATGCTTGCATGTATTAAGTATGACCGCACTCCTATATGAGCGTCATAAAGGTGTCTACCAAAATCTATGATTATTTGCGCTTAGAAATCCGTCGATGGAGATATCGTGCTGTGTAGCTAATATAATCTGCATCGCACAAATCACATTTAAATTTATATACACGACGCATTGCTGCTCCAATTTTTTGCTCGTAAACACTGGTTGTATACCGACCCCAATTTTTCGCCTCAGGTCAGATCAGGCCTGGAATGGAAAAGCCCCGCAGAGGCACGATATATAATCTTTATGGGCTAGTTATTATTTTAAACATGTTAGTATCTACATTTTAATTCCATATTTGCTCTATTGGATGCAGTTTATTTATTTATAAATATTATTTATTTATTTATTTATTGGCTCTATTAGATGCCGTTTATTTATATGAGCAGCATAATTTATATAAGTTTGCAAAGGCATATGACCGATCACGAAAATAAAGCTATATTACACCATTGCTGAAAATGTTCTTGAAAATATTAATGTGAATTTTTATATCTAAAGGAATATAATGTTAAATCTAAGCTTTTAAAGACGTCTGCAAATATTCGCTGCCTAAATGTTGGAAAAATAACATTTGATGACCAGTTCCTGAAGATTTGGCAGTCTGTGTTTCGTCGCAACCAAGACGACCGGTTAGCACAATTTTAGAGTAGGCACACGTCCAAGGAAAACTCGCAAATCGTATTATAAATTATATTAACAATTCGATCTAGAATATGAACAAATTAATACCAAGAATATTAATAAAAACATATATATATATATATATATATATATATATATATATATATATATATATATATATATATATATATATATTATATATATATATATATATATATATATATATATATATATATATATATATATAGGTAGGTTTATCAGTATTTAGTTATCAATGGATTTTGTAATTGGCTTCACTTGTATAAATAGAGGACGATAGTGATAAAATCTTTTAATCCACTGATGAAGCTGTAAATAGCGAAACGTCTGGTAGCCAGTTTTTAACAACTTTTCAATGAATGGTTTTAAAAGTATGTCCGTTGAAGTTTTATCTCTTAATCCTTATATATATATATATATATATATATATATATATATATATATATATATATATATATATATATATATATATATATATATATATATATATATTATATATATATATATATATACAGTCGTTATCAAAAAGGTTGTCCCTATCAATATATATACAAATATATATAATATCAATCACGTGAGCATTAAACATTGTTTATTTCGCTCGTTTTTGTCTTGTTTCTTTAGTATTATCAATATTGTTAACCTTACTATTATATTTATGAAATTTTTAATAAAGATTTTCACGGATTTCCTATAAAATTAACGTATGCAGTAAAATCACGTGACTGATATTTACGTATTTATATATGTTTCAATATGACAACCTTTTTGATAACGACTGTATATATATATATATATATATATATATATATATATATATATATATATATATATATATATATATATATATATATATATATATATATATATATATATATATATATATATATATATATATATATATATATATATAGTTCCGATCAAGTTCGCATGTGTGATCAAAATTACCCCTAATAATATTCATAAACAACAATATAAATTCAATAGCTTACTTCTGAGGCGAGGTCCTCTAAGCATATACTTAATGGCGCAGGTTAGCCCGTCGTAGTCTTTCACACAGATACTTCACATACATACATACATTTACAAATTTTCCGTCTCGCTTGCTCTATTTTCCTTTCTCACTAATTAAGTGCTGGTGTTAAATGTTAATGCATGCCCTATATGACGTCATGGTCAAAGTTCATGTCAAGCCTGCTCACATGTCCATCATGCCTAGAGAAGCTGTTGATCCAGTATGTTTTGACGTTTTGAAGGTTTTAGTTCTAAACGTTTTAGTCCTACCCCATGGCTCAATAGAGCTGAAAAATGGGTTATGTTGACTTGAAATATAATTTTTTAAATTTAATCCAGTTTTTTCTTTGGGGATACCTTAAGCAGCAAATTTGGAATGTACCACACGATCAGCAACCGCAGAATTTAGAAGAGCTTCGCAACTCAATCGTAACAGCATGCCGTAAGCTAGCACAACGAATGATCCATGACTCCTTCGACGCAATGGTCTCACGGGATAGGCAGTGCATTCGTGTTGGGGGACACGCGATTCCGAACGAATAAATCTTCCTTGTTTTCTGTAACTAATAATACTTCGTTTCATAATAAACAATTTGTCAAGTGTCATTTATTTACTGCTAATAGTGCATGTTTCAGTTGAGAAAAGCTTGATTAATATTTAATATTTGATACAGCGTTTTTTGCATAATTTAGACACATCCAGAAATATGCTACCAATTTTGAACATTGATATCTCCGTAAGTTTTTAAGTAAAATACAACTGTAATATATCAAAATCTAAGTTAGTCTTCCCTCTATCTAGTGAAAGTTATTTCAGTTTAATAGCTTAGCTAGTTTATATCGCAGAACCTCCAACTTGGTTCCTGCCGTACTAATACGCATTCAAACCTCAATTCAGGGGACTGTATCTTTCTTGATTGTAATATTTATTAGATTGAATTGATTAGCTATCTACACAAGTTTAACGCGTCTCGTTCACCGATCTCGAAGCCTCTGCCCAAGGCCAACAACAATACGTGGTTTTATCCACCGGTGACATCACTACATATCAAATTACAGTGGATCAACTATTAATTAAACTATATTTACATAAGTATTCAAAACAACCATCGCTGTATTAAGAAACTGCTGGCGCTGTGCAGGGAACCTACAACATCCCGCCCACCCTGATTCATAAGGATTTCACTTATGCAGCAGCATCGCCTTTGTCCTCGATTTTGAAATTTCTGCAATTACCACCCCGTCTAGTTTGAATCTCTAACGGGTAAAGTTTCTGTATCGGTCGTTTCAGGTGAATTGGCTTCCCCTTTCCTACGAGTCTAACTCTCGCTCCTCTGACTTCCTTGTCTTTCCCTGCAATTAGCTCTTCTACAATCACTAACTTCCATTTACCTCGCTTTTCTCCTTCACCGTACACTGTTACAACATCACCCCTCTGCACTGTTACTCCCTTACCTGCTGACCTGCACCTATGAAATTCCCTCAATCCTGTCAGATACTCACCTTGCCATCTCTTCCAAAAATGTTGCAACTTTACTGTCATATACTTAAATCTCTCTCCACAACTAACTTCCTTTGTCTCTTCCCTTTGCGGTATAAATTTAATTGCTCTGCCATAGATTAGGTGAGACGGTGTTAATACTTCTCCTTCTAACTCTTCATACTCGTCGGTCAACGGTCTTGCATTAAGCGTGCCTTCTACCTCCAATAAGACTGTGTTGAATTCATCCGCTGTTAACTTAGCATTACCTAAAACCTTTCTGAGACATCTCTTCACGCTACGTACCATCCTTTCAAAAAATTCTCCCCACCATGGGCTTCTCTCCAAATTAAACCTCCAAACTACTCTGTGTGTCTGTAATGCTGCCTTTATCTTGTGCTGACTAAATAACTTCCTAACAACTTTCTCTGCTGCCTTAAAAGTCTTTGCGTGTCAGAAACTATCAAGCTTGGCATACCTCTCTTAGCAGCAAACCTTCTAAGACAGCACAAAAATGTCTCTGCAGATAAATCTCTAACTAGATCTAAGTAAATAGCTCGGGTTACACAACACGAGAAAAGAGCTATGTACACCTTGTTGGAACCATTTGCACAATCCTTTACGAAAAGTGGACCTGCAAAGTCTACCCCTACCTTGGAAAAGGGCGCTGCCTCTCTCACTCTAAACTCTGGTAAGCTCGCTACTGGTGCTGCCCTGTAAGCCTTTCCTTCCATCCTTTTAAAAGTAACGCACTTTCCTACAACTCCCTTTACCATCTGCCTTCCCTTCACTATCCAAAATTTTCCGCACCCTGCTTAAGGTAGCTCGCACACCAGAGTGGTGCACGTCTCCATGACACTTCCTAACAATCAGCTCAGTTAAACGGTGCTTCTTTGGTAGAATGATTGGATATCTTGCCCTGTGCTCTAATTCCGAATTTTCTAGTCTACCCTTACATCTCAGGATACCCTCTTCCTCAAAAATTCCTAAACTGCTACTGACTTGGGCAAATTTGGGTGACAATTTAAATTCCGCCTGAGCTTCCTGAACCCACAGGTTTTCCGCTTCCACTAGTTCTTCCACAGTGAGCTCTCCATTGCGCTTCTCTACGCCCCTTTTCTTGGCTTTTAGGTTGAATCTTAACCTAACTATCCATGCAGTCACTCTAAAAATTCGTTCTGCCGTGCTATACGTATTTACGTCCACTACAACTCCTACACTTGCTGGGGCTCTAACTTCCACTAGCATCGCTGTACATTTTCGTTCTTCTTCTAGAACTCCGTTAACCTTCTCAGTACATGCAAACTTAGGCCATTCCTCACTGGGCCTACCTAGCCACCCAGGTCCCACCCACC